GAGACAAATAACATGAACACTTCAGTTTGTTTGCAGTCTTAGTAGTCCTCACTTTTCTGCAAGTGGGGTTGTATCAGGACAGAACAGAACACCATGTTCTGGTCCACTTGTTATTGTTCCCTGGGTTATCAATAGTGAATTTATTTTCTTTCTTCATCAGATTTCCTGGAAATCTGAGAAGCCTGGTCTGGAAATTGATGTTCTGTCCATATGGTAGAATAGGTACAACATGGACATTTGTAATTTAGGCTTCCCTCATGCTGCTCCCCATTTCCTGTAGGAACTAGTAGTGTAGTCCTGTTGAAACAGCTTCCAACAGCAGCTGACATAGAAGATGATCTGTGCTACAGGCACTTGTCCACCAACTTGTTTCAAACTGTTGGGTGGAAACTATTGAGTCCCCAGTCAGAATTTACACTGACAGCTCAAGCATGCTCCGCGAGCTGCTACTGGTTTGTAAGCTTCCCCTCTTGATGCCCAACCTTGTGCCCTTGCCTTGTGCCATTGTAGTTGTTTAAAGGGGAAAAGCAAATGCAACTCTTCTATGGCTTTCAGATGCCATGTTTGTGCTGCATGTTGATATGTTGCAGTCTCTTTTCACTAGTGTTTGCTGTACCGTGCAATCCTAAATCCCACTCTCTTTTATTCTAAACTCCCCAGATTGATTTCCTGAATTCGGTGATAGTGGATCTTCAAAGGAAAAATGAAGAATTGAAGCTGAAGGTGGAAACAATGTCTGAAGCAGCTCTCAATGGCAACGAGGAGGAGATAAATAATTATGACAGGTATAAATATTATGTGGAAAATTGATTTGGGTTGAGCTTTGCTGGTAGCACTAGCAATTGGTGCTGTGAGCCTGTCTGTTAACAGAGGAGCCTTGTTGCATGCAGTGCAAGCATAGCTTCCTTACATGACCTGGGTGGCTAGACAGAGGTTAAGGGGACATATTAGTACACCTTCATTTGCTATCGCACCCAAATGTGGGCCTGGCCCCCTCCAAACCAGGCTAACATACCCTCTCTCTTTTTCCACCAATTTACGTGAGTGGCTTTGAAACGGTGGGTTTATATTTGTGCATATGAAAACTGCAACAATTCAATGACTAAGGTAAATTGTTATCACTACATGGGGAACAGCAATTCCAGCATCTTTTTCTGAAAGGCACTGATTCTTTCTGCTGCTTGCAGTCCATAGGATACCCTGTTGGTTTTTAAGCAGCACAAAACAACTAACCCTTTGGGTTTTTCCCCTCACTCCTCCTATATTAAGAGAATATCCAACCTAACTTGTGCTAATGTTGATCTTACAGCGAGGAAGAAAGCCTGTCAAAGAAGAAACCTCGCCTCTTCTGTGACATTTGTGACTGCTTTGACCTCCACGACACAGAAGACTGTCCAACTCAGGCGCAGGTGTCAGATGAGCCTCCCCATTCAACTTATCATGGCAGCAGAAAAGAAGAGCGCCCCTATTGTGACATCTGCGAGGTGTTCGGGCACTGGACAACCAATTGCAACGATGATGAGACCTTCTAACCCAATGCAAGGCCAGGAAAGCAAACCTCGTTTGTATGCACTAATTGGACACTTTACACCACCAGCATTTGTATGCGCAGGCATCAGGAAAAGGGACAATGGCTCTTGACCCCCACCTACTCCGGAATCAGCAAACCTATAGATATGTTGATCCTCTGCTAACAAATACTCTTATTATTCCCCATAATAAACTAAAGTGAAATATAAATAAATAATTTAATAGATGACTTTTTGCCATTTATTTCCCAACTTTTGGTTTTGTCCCATCTTTAAAAAGAAGCATCCCCTACACTGTTACATTATCCTATGGGAAAAAGGTATAGGAGCAAAGCACTATAGTATGGTAAAGCTTATTTAAATACCTTAAAATTATGCTGTTAATTTTGATATTTGCACTAAAACATTTTAAGACTGCATTTGTACATTTAGATTTTTAAGCTTTTGACACTGGAATGAGTTGAGAAATGTTTCATCTTTATTTTTCATCTGCTCATTAACTATTTTACTGTGCTCTTGATCAAAGAACACGAGCTCTGCACTACCTATCAGTAGTGCCTTGATTTCAGTTTGGTTACAGTGTGAGACTTAAAATCATGAGACAGGTAAGAAAACATAAGCTACTGTGGGGATTTATTAGAAAACTATGCTGTGCACACTTACTGCAGTTTGTGTGACATCCCTTTTTTACATTATTTCTGCTCTATACAGTGTGTGTGTGTGTGTGTGTGTGTGTGTGTGTATATACATAAATATATATTAAAATTTATATTTTGGAAAAAAGTGTCTTCTTTCACATTTTTAAATTGTATTCAATTCCTCACGCGACCTGTTTATGGGACAAACATTACAGCGTGACTGCATTGCTTTACTTGGAAGTCAACAAGTAAACCAAACCACCTCAGTATTGGGGGAGAGTTTTTTTTGTGAGAATCTCTCCAGCAATTTTGCCTTCTTCTATAGCAGGTTTTCAGTCAAGTCCATCTCAAAAACAGGTTATTTCAGGATCAGTTTTTGTTTTATTTTCAGATGAATGTATCATGGAAAATTACCAGTTGTGGATTTTGTTATAACCAAAAACAAGGGGTGAAGAAATCTAACTTGATGGAATAGTGATACGCTCTGGCTAGTCGTCCACTACATGGACAGCTAACGTTTTGTTTCGGGGTGGGGGGGGCTACTGCTAGTAAGGTGCGATTCAAACACGAGCAAGCGTGGAACAAAGTGGCTTTAAACCACTGATTCAGTTTGGTTTAAATCTTCTTTTGAATGTCTTCTAGTGTATGTAAAAAGAACAAATTGTACTGTATCTTCCTTGCTACCTGTACCATAGATCTGGGATTGACTCTTCTACAACTGTATATATATGCCTTTGATGTATTTTTTTTTTCTGGAAATGATCAACTGCGTATTTGGCCTATAGTATAAAGTAAACCTTCTGTAGTCATTTTAAATCCTGGGCAACGAATGTATTATAGTAACAACAGGAACGAACGCAGGGAATCAGTATTCACGGGAAGAACGGCATGTCCCGTATCTTCCTGAATAAATGTTTATTGTCACTGCTGTGTCGCTTGCCTCCTTTCCTCCTTTCTTCTTCCCCCCGGCAGCTCAGGCTCCTACCACTCCTTACATGCATCACGCAATAAACTTTACACCAGCCACCTGTGCAGAGCCCTGAAATTAGTGCTTGAAAGGCTGCTGGTTGGTGTCCAGCTCCCACGTGAACGGGCAGCAAAGGACACCATAGCAGGATGCTGACCCGACCCCTGCGGCCTAAGACATCTCACAGGTGTGCGGGCGGCTGCAGGGCCACGTGGGTGAGCAGCACGGCCCGCGACTCCGGCGCGCATGCGCAGCAGGGGGGGCAGGGCGGGCGTCACGTGGCCCGACCTGACGGCGCTGCGGGAGGCCGGGCGGCGCGAACTGCGCGAGTTCCTCGACAAGTGCGCGGGCTCCAAGGTGGGCGCCGCGCCGCCGCCGCTCCCCTCCTCACGGGCGGCGCCTCCTGCCTGCCCTGCCCTTCACACAGCTCCTCTCCTCTCTCCCCCCCCTCCCCCCAGGCCATCGTGTGGGACGAGTACCTCACCGGGCCCTTCGGCCTCATCGCGCAGTACTCGCTGCTCAAGGTAAACGCGGGGCCGCCCGCCCCTTTCCCAGCCCGCCGCGGGAAGGAGGGGATGCGGGAGGGACGGGGGCGGGCGGCAGCAGCTGCTCAGCGCTTCGTTTCCCCGCAGGAACACGAGGTGGAGAAGATGTTCACCCTCAAGCCCGGCCGCCTGCCCGCAGCCGACGTCAAGAACATTATTTTCTTTGTCCGGCCCAAGCTAGAGCTCATGGATATCATCACTGAAAATATACTCAGGTAAAGCTCGTTCCGAAGGCTCCAAGGAGTTAATCCCTCCCGCTTTCCGCCCCTTTAGGTTTACACCAAGCTTCGGCGCCGAACAACCTGAGTTTGGTGCGTTTCGGCTGTTTTGGTAATAAATCCACGGCAAGGATCGGAGTCGGGGAC